ACCAGGCTCCTCTGTCTGTGGAACTTCCCAGGCAAGAATACTGGAGTGGGTTGCCATGCCCTGCTCCAGGAGATCTTCCTGACCCAGGGATCGAACCCGTGTCTCTTACATCTCCTACATTGGCAGGTGGGTTCTTTACCACTAGTGCCACCTGGGAAGCCCAGAACAGCAGAGATGTATGCAAATACATACCACTTTGTGCATGTACATAAAAGGAATACTGAAGGACACTTAAGAAAGCGCTTCTCTAGTGAGCAGGGGGATGGATTGGCTGGGACATGGGTGGAAAGTGGGGCTTCTAATGGATGCTTTCTTATAGGATTTCAGACCATGTGACTGTATTATACATTCAAACTTTGATAATGGTGTTAAAGTAAATAACTTGCCGTATAAGTAAACATCAGCGTTGACAGTTACTTGTTTATCCCTAAGACCTAGGCCTGTAAGAACTGTCCCTCAATTTGAGAAAAGGGCTGTCAGCAGTGGGTTCAGAGTAGAGTGGGCACATGGGGGCAAGAAAGCCCACAGCCCTGCCACCAGGGCTCAGGGCCAATGGACATCTGCCCGGCAAGGGGACCTGTGGCCAGAGTCCGGGGGATGGCTCTGAGCCAAGGCAGGACCTCTGCCAGCCCCAGCCCCCTCCAAATTCCCCTGAAGGCTGCTTTCTACTAAGAAGGATTCTCTGATCTGGGGAGAGAGAAGCTGCTTGTGGCTCAAACAGTAAAGAATCTGCCTTCAGTGAAGGTACCCAGGTCCAATCCCTGAGTCAAGAAGATCCCCTGGAGAAGGGAATGACAACCCATTCCAGTATTCTTGCCTAAAGAATTCTATGCATAGAAGAGCCTGGAGGGCTATAGCTCATGGGTTCGCATAGAGTCAGATACAACTGAGTGACTGACACCAGCAGCTGCAGAGGCTTCCCAGGTGTCGCTAGTGGTAAAGAACCCACCTGCCAATGCAGGAGACATAAGTGATGCGAGTTCGATCCCTGGGTTGGGAAGATCTCCTGGAGGAGGGCACGGCAACCCACTCAAGTACTCTTGCCTGGAGAATCCCATGGACAGAAGAGCCTAGTGGGCTAGAGTCCATAGGATCACAGAGTCAGACACAACTGAAGCAACTTAGCACGCATGCATGCAAGCCACTGCAGTGGGCCCAAAGGAGCCCACAAGAGCCAGTTTCTGAGCCCAGGGTCCAGAGGCTGGTCTGGCAGGACCCAGGGCCTCAGCTGATATTGACAGCAGGTGGCCAGGGAAGCAGCTGTGGTGCTCAGTGGGCACCTGGTGGGTCCCTCTTCTTCTTCCCTTTGAAAATGAAGACTTCCTTCCTGCCACAGGCAAGGAATGGGTGGGGAAGAAGAGATTCCTAGATAGCTCTCCACACCCCCACCTACAGGAAGCCTTCCCGGGTCCATCAGAAAGGTGGAACACCTCTTCGGACCCCTTCTCCTGGATGGGCTGCAACCTGTCCAGGACTGGGACCCTGGATCCTGGCAGCACATCACCCCAGGAGCCTTCCCGTCAGTACTGGTGTCTTGTCAGCTGACCTGGAGCACTCAGTCTTCACTGTCCTGGAACACTTTGCAAACTTTAAAGGGCTGTGCACCAATAATGTCTCTCTGGGGTAGAGAACAGAAGGCTGTCTGACTTGGTTCCCTACCACAGGCCTGGGTTTTACTGCCCGATCTAAATGCCGTGTTTGCTTCCACCCCACCCGGTAGCTTGTACACACCTGTACATGGAAGGTTGTAATTTTTCTGCATGAATCATGGGTAGGATCACACCCAAGTTACCGGCACTCTGCTCCTTAGGGCGAACTGGCCGGGCAGTCGCCTTTGTCTTCCAATTATGTTGTTTTTTATTGCTCTTTTAACTATAACAGAAACACCCAAAGAGGCAGGGAATGGAGGGCAATTAATGACATGGAAAAAGCCACATAAAGCCACTAGATTTGAGGCCGGTAGGAAGCTCTGTGTCTGAACAAGGCACTGGCCGTCTTCAGGGAGTGAGGTTGTATGGGGTAGTGGCTGGAGCATGTGCTCTGGCATCCTGCAGGTTCTGGTACTAACCAGCTGTGTGACCCTGGACAAGTCACCTCACCTCTCTGAGCTTCCATCTCCTTCTCTATAGAATGATATTGCGGATGGAATGAAATGTCTGCTACTTAATAGACACTCCACGCATGCCGAGTCCCCCACAGGCCCTGCTACTGTTCGCGCTTGTAGTTGTATAGGCATGTTTCTTCTCCCTCCAACTTCCTGTCATTTTCTGTAGCCCCTCTCACACTGCCCTGCACACAGTAGGTCCACAGGGCAGCAGAAAGAGCAAGGGGCTTTGGAGTCTATTTTTCATCCATAAATATTTACCAAACACCATGATGTGCCAGGTGCAAGGGGTCTGGAGACCCAATTCCTGTTCTTGAGGGGCTCACAGTCCGGCCGGAGAGGAGACCCAGAGCAGTAACAAGTGAGACAAGGCAGGTGGCAATTACTGCCCTCAAGCCCAAGGGGTGCCCCTCCACTTCCGGAGTGGGCCCAGGACTGGCTCGAGGGTGCCGAAAGGGTGACGCATGCCTGACTCTGTGCCCTGGAGGGAGAGTGGGAGGGAGCCAGGTAAGGAGGAGAGCCATGTCTCAGGCTGGGGAACGACTTGTGCAAAGGCCTAGACGTGAGAAACTCTGGAGGAGGTGTGAGAAGACCGCACCATGGAGGGGAGGACAGAAAGAGATGAGGTCCAAAGAATCACTAGAGGTGAGACCTGAAAGGGTCTCTCCACTCAGGCAGAGGCATCTGAGCTCTATCTAGAGGACAGGAGGGACCCCTGGGAGCAGGTAAAGTGTTCTAATGGGACTTCCCCAGCGGTCCAGTGGTTTAGAATGTGTCTTCCAAGGAAGGGGACGCAGGTTTGATCCCTGGTTGGGGCACTAAGATCCCACATGCTGTGGGGCAGTTAAGCTGGCACATCACAACTAGTGAGCCCCCCCGCCCGCTGAAATGGAGATCCAGTGCACTCAAAATGAAATAAATTTTTTAAAAAGATGAAAAATAAAGTGTTCTGTAGTTCTACTGTTAAGGGTCCGGGGAGGGGACGTGAACTACGAGGATAAGGGTGAAGGCAGACAGGTCAGAGGCCGCGGCAGTGACCCAGGCAAAAGATGGAGGGGCCTGAATCTGGGATAATTTGGAAACTCCTTGGACACCTACCAGCCGCAAGACCCTGGGCAAGTGATTCCTACTCCTGGCCACCGTCCCTCATTCCTAAATCTCAGTAGCAATGCCGAGTTCTCAAGGTAGCAAGATTAAAGAGGGTTTAAAAGAGAGCATAATACACTGATATAAATACATAATTCTCTTTTCCTTTCAGTCATGTCCAACTCTTTGCGACCTTATGGATGGTAGCCTGCCAGGCTTCGCTGGCCACAGAATTCTCCAGGCAAGAATACTGGAGTGGGTTGCCAAGCCCTCCTCCACCTGGGTTGGTCCCAACCCAGGTATCAAACCAGGAATCTGCACTGGAAGCAGATTCTTTACCATCTGAGCCACCAAGGGGAGCCCACACTGATACAAACCTATAACTGGACAAATAAATAAGAGAGAAAGGATCGCTCTTCCATACAGTAGAATGGCAACGCTGTAAAACAGAAGAAGGAAATAGAAAAGTACAATAAGACAAACACCCCAGGAACAACGGCTGCAAATGGTATGTATCAAAGGCTGCTAAAATTAATGGACAAAAGTCTGAGGAGAAACAGGAAGTGCCTCATTTCAAAGCCTCCCTCCTCAGATGTATTAACCGACAAGGGAAAGACAATGACTGTAACTTTAGAGGGAGGAACCTGGCCGGCACAGTATAACCAAATGGCCAGGCTACCAACGGAGAAGAAGAGATGTCGGGGCACTGAGATGGGCCTCCACGTTGAGCCGAGGCCTGAGGTCAGCAGCCCCCCAGCTGCCCCTTTGCAGGCCAGCAGAGCCGAAGTGGGGCTTCCTAGGTGGCGCTAGTGGTAAAGAACTAGCCTGCCAATGCCAGAGACTTCAGAGACGCCTTTGCCTGGAGAAACCCATGGACAGAGGAGCCTGGTGGGCTACAGACCATGGTGTTGCAAAGAGTCAGACACGACTGGAGCGACTTAGCACGCACGCACAGAGCCAAAGTGCCCTTCCACACTCTGCCAGCACCCCCTGTGAGAGCCCTCCTGTCCCCGAGTTCAGCGTCGCCTTGGCCCCGGGGTCCCCTCCGGCAGAGGCACCCACAGGTCTTAACATACCACGTGCACATTAACCCTGTGAGTCACGTGCTCTCAGAGTCCCTAATGCCCATGGGGAAACTGAAGCTCAGACAGGAGAAGGCATCCACTCAGCATCATACAGCAAGCGGAGCCCAGGAAGGACTGTCCGGCCGCCCCAGGCCGACTGCTCCAGGCTGGGTCCCTAACTGGACCACACCTCTTCCTCGGGAGCCAGGAGGCTGAAGGGAGGTGTTGGCAGAAAGCTGCCCTGGCGCTTTCTCAG